TTTTTTTTGTTTAGCGGACAAAAGGGTAAGCGAAGGAATCATTTCCGTAACTTACCGCCAGATAAGTGTTTTACTTTGGAAATTTTGAAATTATAAAGCAATACTAAGGCAAGATTTCACGTCAGTGCTACCAAAGTTACTACAGATATTAAATGCATTTTTTTGCCTCCTTTACATGGTGATATAACTGGGTATCTTACAGATCATCAGCTATTACATTTTTCAAGTATATTGTTCTAGACATGCCATAAGAGAGTCTAGACAGGAAATAGCAGTTTGCATTTAGATTGGACGCAGGTTGTAAAAGTTGGCACCACATGTACGCATCTGCCAAGTAGTATATGACTCACTGCCTGCAAGCAATTACGTATTAGTTTCAGTCGATGAGACATCAGTATTCTAGAACATACGCCAGTATCTGTGCATTTTGATTAACCAGGATTGTACACTGTCTGTAAAAAAAATATCTGGTGTAGAAATATAATACATTTACAAATACGCTGAATTAGTTTGATTATGCAACTAAAATCCCGAAGCTTGTATGTACGTAGCCTGAAAGCCACTAAGGTTAATGACACCACATTACGCAATTCAATTAACAGTTTTATACGTCAGACCCATGTATTCATTACAGCCACGCTGACTATTGATGAGGCGTTTTCTTTCAACATTCATCAAAAGGAGCAAATGTTCGACTGTGAGCATCAGCTGCACAGCGTTTGGGAGAGCGAATACGTAACGAGCGCCCGCCAGCATACGTAACAGGTGACCTCAGCATAATCGGTAAATAGGAGCTGAAATCCGGACCTTATGCTTTCCGAAAAGAAGCGCATCATCATTATTAATGACTGGGTTCTAGGATAATGAGCTTGAGGTTATACTGGCTAATTTCTTCATATTTTGTGGTGTACACGTGCTTAAGTAAGCTCGTGGGTGCGTGCGTACGTGCATGCGTGCACGCATGTGTGTTTGTCTGTAAGTCTATGTGTGTATGTGTGTGGGGGGAGGGGGGGCGCACTCGTGTGTGCGTGTTCGTGTGCGTGTGTGTGCCCATGTGAAAAAAGTACTAACGTGGCCCCGACACGAGTCAGAGATGCCAGTTCACAGTGAGAAGTCATATATGGTAGCGTATTCGATTAGCTGAATCACCGTTCTTCAGATATACGATGACCAATGTATACCGCTTAATAACAGCTACTTCATGTCAATTGTAATCTGTCAAGGAGAGTCTACATATAGACATCGCTAATGACGATTATACTCAATTTCTGTGGGGGGAAAAATATCTGTCAATGTTTATTTCTTTTCTTGCCCATCATCAATGCGAATATACTTCATGATGTGAAGTGGAACGTCGTTTTCTTTGCTCATTTCTTTGTTGTCTTTCTCTGAAGTAAATGTCTAGTATCTTCCGAGGTGCTTTCTAACTTCATGACTCTATATTGCTATAATTTCAAGTATCATAGTTGGATACCTTTATATCACGTGTCCAGCACGACCATAGTTGAGGCATCACAAACTCATCACGTGATCATTTACACAATAACTGTACATCTTGCAAGTAAAGTTTCTATAACGCTAGAACTCATAAAAAAACGTTAACCATTGATCAACACAATATTCGTAAATAATACATTCAACTTTAAGTGTCGCACAGACGAAAAAGGGTTTTACGTAAAGAAAAATAAACCCGAGTGTAAGCGTGTGGCATCCCTGTGACGGAAACAAACATTGATGTTACTAAGCAGTCGAGACGCGAGAGAGCACAGTCTAGGTGGACTATGCTCGGGAAATGTTGCAGTGCTCGCGTTCTCCATGGTTATCGCACGTGGAATGAGTTCTAGTGTGTAATGTGACGAATTCTTTTTAAGTATTTCGGTTGAAGAAGGGGTCAAATAGCCGGCAAGATGTATTATTCTTCGGAGAGTTCGGATAGTGAGAACACGGCGGAGTCTCATAGCCTGGACTTCTCCTACCTGATGCTGGACACGGACTCTCTCGCGATGCATTTGAGGAACAGCGTGCGCGAGCAGCAGCTGAACAGACAAGAACAGGTCAAACAATACGTTACGGTATGTGATAAATCAACGGAAACTAGTCAGTCGAACTGTGATAGTGGCACGAGGCCGCGGAATTCTGAGCCTAGACAAGATGTGGACGACATGATGGCCAGACTAGTCGTTTCTTCTGCCAAGGCTAACGACCAGGACGAGGATAGTGGTTGTGATACAGTCACTGAGAAGTTGTTCTTGCAGCACAACATGCTTTTAACATTACCCTTTGAAGTAGTTAAGTTTACTAATCTGAAGATGCTAGATCTGTCAAACAACAGCTTGACACATGTGAATGACTTTGTGTTGCATCTTCCGGAGTTGCAAACCTTGTATCTCCGCAACAACAGTTTGACGGATGATTCGCTACCTAAAGAACTGTCAACTCTCTCAAAACTAAGAGAACTAAATCTGAGTGGGAATCAGTTGACTGTGGTGCCAAGTCAACTCTATGAGATGAGTACGTTGAAGTACCTGTACCTCGGAAACAACATGATAACAGAAGTCTTACCAGACATCAGAGCCATGCAAGGGTAGGTTGTTAAATCAGCTCTTATTTATCTTTCATTTCATTCTTACCATTTTTCTAAACCTTTCAGTAAAAATTAACTTTTTCGGAAGAATGAATATTGAAGCAGTTGTTTTGCTCCTGACTAGGACAGTATATTGATTTTCTCAGTATACACGTACACAGACATTTTCAAATATTCTATTAATATCGGTTCATTATAACATTGATATAATAATCTGTAAAATAATAAATAATTCCTCAAAATACTTCGAATGAAATATCGGAAGTATGCAAAACTTTATTTTTCTGTTATTTAAAAAGATAAAAACAAAAAAGAAAAATAAAGCTTTAGATTTAGAAGAAAAAAAAGAAAATCAGAAAAGAATTACATCATAAATTAGAGACTTTTCATTTCCAGACTCGTGTTATTCATGCAATCTGGCCTGTTTAATCAAGTTAAGGTTGAAAGAGCAATGCAGAAACTGCATTCTTAGCATTTTCCGTTTCCTCATAATCCTCGGGTCCTTCCTATACTTAATTTCCTTTACATTCATTACTTTTTACATTTTGATTTCTAATCAAACTGATCCTTTTTATTTATTTCTCTATTAATTTTTCATTATTTTTATTTGCTTCATTTTCATCACCTTCATCTTACTGTTCATCTTTTAATTTTCATTGTTGATTTCGTTTTTATTGAGGATATTTGTAATGTTATAACTACTAATAAATTGTATATAAGATAATGCAAATCCCAACATCATAGTTGTTATTGTTAATGTTGCTACTGCTGTTGCTGTTGTTGATGATCCATTGAATACTTTTATTTTTATTACTGTCACTAGGAATCATCATTACTAGTGACAGTAGTAGAAGTTTCTAGTAGTACAGCAGCTGAAGTAGTATATATCAGTGTCATTTTTAGTATCATTATTATTATTGTTGCTGTTTTATTGCTCTTATATTTTTTCAAATAATGGTGATAAATAACAGTAGTAATGAGGATATTTGTAATGTTATAACTACTAATAAATTGTATATAAGATAATGCAAATCCCAACATCATAGTTGTTATTGTTAATGTTGCTACTGCTGTTGCTGTTGTTGATGATCCATTGAATACTTTTATTTTTATTACTGTCACTAGGAATCATCATTACTAGTGACAGTAGTAGAAGTTTCTAGTAGTACAGCAGTTAATTATTATTATTATTATTGTTGCTGTTTTATTGCTCTTATATTTTTTCAAATAATGGTGATAAATAACAGTAGTAATGAGGATATTTGTAATGTTATAACTACTAATAAATTGTATATAAGATAATGCAAATCCCAACATCATAGTTGTTATTGTTAATGTTGCTACTGCTGTTGCTGTTGTTGATGATCCATTGAATACTTTTATTTTTATTACTGTCACTAGTAATCATCATTACTAGTGACAGTAGTAGAAATTTCTTGTAGTACAGCAGCTGAAGTAGTATATATTAGTGTCATTTTTAGTATCATTATTATTATTGTTGTTAGCTTTTTTATTAATGTTATTTTTATTATTGTTATCATTATTTTTTATTTATTTATTATTATTATTATTATTATTATTATTATTATTATTGTTTTTGTTATTGTTATTGTTATTGTTATTATCATCATTATCATTATTGTTGTTATTATTATTATTATTATTATTATTTTTATTATTATTATTATTAGTGATATTATCATCATTATTGTTATTGTTTTTATTATTATTTTTGTAGTTATTATTAATATTATTATTATTGTCGTTGTTGTTGTTGTTGTTATTGTTAATATTATTATTATTGATTATTATTATTAATTTTAATATCATTATTACTTTTGTTATTGTCATCATTATCATCATTATCATTGTTATTATCATTATTTACATTATTATCTTTATTGTCAATATAACTTGTATTATCATTATTATTATCATTAATTATTATTGTTATTGATTATTTTATTGATGTTTTATTGATTTTCTTTTGTGAATTTGATTTTTATTTTGTATTTTTCATCTCTGTTATTATTATTGTTGTTATTTTTAGTAATGTTATATATATATATATATATATATATATATATATATATATATATATATATATATATATATATATATATATATATACATTTTTTTCTTTTTCTTTTCTTTTTTTTTTTTTTTGTTATTATTATTTTGCTATTATTGTTATTGATATTATTATCATTATTATTATTATAATTATTATTATTATGGTTTTTAATATTAATATTATTATGATGATAATAATAATAGTAATTATTATTATTATTATTATTATTATTATTATTACTATTACTATCATCATTATCATTATTAATATTGTTATTATCATTATCATCATTATTAATATTGTTATTATCATTATCATCACCATCACCATCATCATCATTGA